GTTGTTCATATTTATAACAGGGGACATTTGATGTCCATAAAAAAACCCATATATGAAGAATGCAGATAACAAAACCACTAAGAACGAATCATGCAGGTAAAAGTTAATACACGAATAATAATAAATAAATCTACAAAATATCCACTTTTAAAGCCAATAGGCATTCGTTTCTATAATTGCGCATAGGTCTAGCACAATTAATCTACTGTTCACATTATGCGAAGTTTCCATTATGTGCTGTTCGCACTGTTGAGTGTCTTCTGTATCGATTCAATGGGCAATTAATCGATTACATATTAAATATTAATATTGATGAATTACCAGATTTCATCACAGAAATATCTCTTATTTACTCACCAAGTTAACAACGTAGAAATATAGGATTTAAAAATAGATAACTGATGTAGGAAAATTTATTGATGTCTATATAGGTACATAAATCAAAAAGGAAAAGTAACTGTTGTTTTCTAAAAAGTTATTAAACTATACCTATATTGCAGAAGTAATTTATGTAATCGTGTTTCTGTGGTAATTAGATTACCTATCTTTTTTTTTAACTTGCACAGTCATAAATTTTTAAAATAATTTAAATTTGTATTTTATTATGGGCATTTTCTTTAAGAAAATACATGCAACAGATATGCTATGTAGTCGGATATCAAGGTGATTTAAGCAGCCATTAATTTTGTTAATTTTAGTAATTCTGTGGTTGTTATACATACCATATGCGAAAATGCGTATGCTCGCATTGAATTATAACATGCCGCTCTTTTCAATAGCTGTAAAGACTACGCGCGCACCTTGCATACTACCTGTTAGGAGTTGTGCGAAGCCACACTTACACATGCGAATACGTATATCCAAGAAGCGCTGTATAATTTAAAATTCCGTAGTCTATATTATAAGAAAGTGCACTCTTTTACAACCGGTATAACGGCACAAATATTTTTAACGTTTTGTTTTTGTGTTTCTCTGCAATTTAAGAGCATTACAATTTTTCTACAACATCGGTAGGTATGATATACTATAAGAACAAAAGTATCAAACTTCTTTGCACTTCCTGTTGTTGTTTACGATGAGCTCAAAACGTCTCAAATAAAGTAATAAAAGATGCAACATTAACCGGAAAAGTATAAACAGAAAAATGACATCTACTTTCTTATTTTTTAGAAATCCTTGAAAATCCTTTTGTATTTTTATTTTTGCTAAATATGGAGCTATTTTAACCGTTATTATTTTTCTTTTAATTTTAATTACCGTGCGAGTCTCTTAAGATATATGTATTTCAATTAGTAAGCAAGCAAAAATTAAAATTATTAACGAATCTAGAAATCTACTTTAAATCTATTTTAATATAAGGAATCCAAGTTTCAGTTTATTTCTTAAATTATACTTTTTACAGTAGATACATTTAAAGCAAAAGTTTTGACAATTTAAATATGGCAATAACTTTTTACAAAAATTGCTTTTTCCTGATGGAAACATAATTGACTCTTAATCCTTGAATAATTTTAACAAGTTTCGCCCTGGAGCCAATGAGATAAACAAATGGTTATAATTAGACAGAGTCGATTTACCGGAGATAATTAGATAGCTCAAGTTATTAACATCCACCCTTTACCGTTAACATAATTAATTTGATTATGCAATTTACTGTAGCAGCAACAGATGCTATCAACTCAGCAGAATTTACATTTCGGTGTTCAGTTTTCACTGTTTATGAAAAATGAACATATTTGAAATAAGATAATAAGAAGCATATAATATGCCGGTATGTTATGAAATAAATTTGCTTAGATTCGTTAGTTCTTATTTAGGAAAGTTCATAAAATACGTTCATAAATGAGGGGGTTGGGAGGGGTATTGCTTAGCGTTACGAGATACGGAAAGGGGGAAGGGGGGTCTAAAGAAATGTGACGTTCATAGTTCATCAATTTTATTTCAACTTCATCTTTTCTTAACTTGGCAGTTCTTAAAATTTTTCATGACTATAGAAAGTCATTCTCATTACTATTTTTAATCACAAAAAATCTTTTATAGGAGGGTGAGCTAGATTTTGTCACGTATATTAGGGGGGTTCAGTGAAAATGTGACTTGGTGTGATTAAGGAAGAGGAAGAGAAAAAGGTGAAATTTTGAGTGACGTATTTTATGGACAAAAATAATTTCAAATTTCATGATATATTTTCAAAAACATTTAATTTATTTTGAAGTTTTTCTAGGAANTTCTGTAGAACTGAATCAAGATCAAGCGCAGAATTGACGTCAGTTAACATTATTTTAAGATATCCTGTGATCATGCATTAAGGGCCTTGACGTTGAAATAAAATCTCTACTTTACTATGGTAATTTAGCATTAGTTTACTACTGAAGGTTAGCGTGTTACTGTTTAATAACATGCCTTCATTATAATGCAAAATGCTTGGGAGTGAATCCTCCAACATTGCATTTCTTTTTATTTTCCTGTTGTTGTAACCACATATTCTTTGTATTTTTTTTTTTTAATTCTACAACGATTAATGCTATTTTAGTCTATAAATAATACACTTTTGTTGGTATTACCGATACATTCGCTTAATGCAAAATAACTGTTGAGTATTTTCCCTTCTTAGAGCAGTTTTTGTAAGAGACAAGGTCTTCCTAGACTGCCAGAAAAATGCGAAACGAATTAGCTACTTTTGCAGTTCACCGGGTCATTACATTTTTTGTGAAACAAAGTAAATATTAATATTATCCATAGGTTGTACAAAAACCTCAAAAAAATATTTTGTATTAGGGTCATTGGACTCGGAACTTATTTTAATCAAGTAGACGGAAACCGAGAAAATTCTTATCTATATTTATTTTTTAATTTCAGTGTTATACGCAAACATTACTATTTTTAGACTTGTTATAACTTGAAATTACATCTAATAAATAATACATAAATTAACAGTAATTAGCGTTAGAGCAATATAATAATAGAAACAGGAAAACATTAGTAGGTAAATATTTTTATTTTTTAGTACATCATTGTAGTAACTAATTGAAGTCGCTGTGAAAGAAAATCTATTAGGTAAGCTACCAGCTAAGTATTTCCTTTTTTTCAGATTGTGAGTCACTCATACGTAAAATGCTGGTTTTGGATCCAACGAAGCGATATAGTGTTTCGCAAATAAAACGCCATAGGTGGATGCAAGCAGACATACCTTTATCTTTGCCATCAACCATGCCGTCTAGCAAAATTCAACCAAATGAACAAATACTTCGGCTAATGCAAAGTCTTGGAATTGATAGCATAAAAACTCGAGATGTAAGATGTAAACTATAATATAATTAGTATGTAGTTTAGAAAGAAATCTTTTGGATATAAAAAAAACAAATTAATTTCAATTTATACCTATTGTATTGCCATCTGTTGGGTATTCGCTGTTACTAAAGTATATCATGTGTTAAGCAAAGTCTTACTATCAACATGATATCTCTGTCTAATTGAATAGGCAATGAAGCTTATATACATAATAGATACACAAACTGTATTAATATGGTAAATAAGCTGCATCATCGATTCAGTTAGGCAAGTTCCTCTCTATCTCATATTGTCACCTTCGTCAAATCCCTATAGTATGCAGACAATTTTAAAGACTGATTTTTAATTTTTATTTTAGTCCGTAAGATGTGGAAGTTATGACCATCACGCTGCAATATACTATCTCCTATTAGAAAAATTACGAAACCAATTGATAGGGAACGAAACTCAGCAACAAAACACGGCTGTCCGCGAAGTCCAAAGGCGAAGACCTTCGAATATTGCCGAACAAGCTATGCGAAAGATAGGACGAGCCAGTACGTCTGAAGATTGTCGAAGACTCCTTCAACATTCTGTTACGGCCCCATCTTCTAGCAATAGTAGGCTGAGTAGCCCTAGGACATGTAATTCTCCGAGGAATTGTGATTCTCCCCCTCACGGAATTGACGCAGCCAGACTACTTGCAGCAACTAATAGTGACGAAGCTTTAAAAATTTTACAACAGTCAACCACTATGTCTTTTGTAATGTCAAGCGAAGCATCTAAACTGATGGCAACTCTTCAGTCGTCCCCAGTTCCTCCTCAAACAGACTTATCTTCAGCCAGAGAATATTTGAGCCACATTAATTCCTACTTACATTCTCAAAACACTCAATCATCTATAGAATCTGACAATAATAAAGGATCTTTACCTAAATTTAGCACCAGGTACGGTTTTTATTAATTAAGCGTATATGATTTTCATACTGACTGACTTTTTTGTACTTTTAGTGGTTATCGAAGCAGTGAAATGCACATTCAGTATTCGAGTTCAACAGACGAGGGCGTGGAAACGGACTTGGAAGATCAAAGTCATCATCGACTCAGTTATGCCTCATCGAGCTCCTCTAGTGGTGTAGTAGGGAACTTTAACACGTCCAAAAGCCTTAGTCAAAACTTAAGTTGTGATAGTAATTTTGAAAGCCTGGATTACCAGCTCTCAGATTCCAATGAACTTACAAATAGTTTGCCCAGTTGTACATCATCGGCGGACAGGACCGTTCCTGGTCCCTCTTTGACCAGTTTTAGTGGTCTCTCGTCACCAACACCCAGTTATTTAATAAATTCCCGTTCTCTTCTCAGTAGGCATAATCCCTTAGTTCATTTACCTAATTTAAAAAGTTCCAGTAGAGGTCTTACTCGATCTCCCGTAGATTTTCGGGAAGGTCGACGAGCTAGTGACGGGCTTGTTGCCCAACAGGCTGCGGACACTCCTCATAAAAAAGTTGTAGCCTTTAACTCACAAAAACTAAGTAAAAACCCAAAAGCCAAAGGTATTCTTGAGCTTCACATGGTAAAGAAGGAAGCCCAACGTCTTCGAAGTCAGTATCAAGCGAGAGAAGCACCAGAAGAAGCGTCTCATCGACAGAAGCAACACAACCAGTACTTGCAGCCTCGATCAAGTAAGAGAATTAGCTTGCCAGATAGTTTTAGTTACGCGAGTTCGTCCCCAGAGCCTTTGCAGACGGCCATGCAACATAGGCTACTGCAGCAGAAACGCCAAATTTTGCAGAAACAGAGCGGAATCTCATCCCATCAACCCTCTAGTGCTATTAGCTTGGAAAGTGGCCCATTGTCGCGAAGGCATATGCTCAGACAAGCTAGTTACAAAATCGCTCAGCAACAACCTGTACTTCCTCCGTTGCCTCACAACACCGAAGTCGAGAATAAGGACCTGGTTGCTTTCCAGGCCATTGTTGAAGGTACCGGTGAAGCGTGGAGCACACTTCCCGGAAGCCTCCAGGCTTCTTGCCAAATTTCTGACGCCGCCTCAGCTCATCCCTGGCAAAATATAGCACCCGCTTGGAACCAGGTATCCCAGCCGCTGTAGTGTGGTTTCATGATGCAGGTTTCTGTTGAATGCCTTGCCGAACCTCCTCTTCCTAGTCTTGCTTTTAACGCAGGCTGTATACATACATTATTTTACGTAGTTGTATTGTAAACGTGTTATTATTTCATTTATGTCTGGGATTGTTTTAGAAAGTACCTTTAATGCTTTCTAAAAGAAATTCGTAACTGCACGAGTAAATAAATATTGTAGCTGTTTAAAATTATCGTACCTACTGAATCTTCGATTTAAAATTTTGGTCATTTTGTTCGGTAAAGGACTCAATCGACTCACTAGGGTAGAGAAATCAAATTCATAACATTCTTTCAATTCATTACAATTTTTTTAACAACTAATTTATGCGTTAGTCAGTTCATTTTTATCATATGCTTATGTCATAGGTACAAGTTATATTTGTATTGTAGGTATTTTTTTATATTTAGAAATTAACGTCTATAGTTAACACAAAAACAAAAACTTTTAAGTACATGCTTCTAGCTGATTAGTTGTCCTAATTAAAGTTATTTTATTTTAAACGGGTGATATTGTTTTACACAATATTGCAACCAAAGATTTTCTTCAACCAAAATTTATGTTTGTATTATTTTGAATTTTACGGTTTCTTGGCCGTAACTATATTTGCGATTATCATACGCATATTTTTCAAAAGTTAATATGAAACACATGTTATAATATTAATTTCGAAAGGATAGTAAATACAATACATATGTGAAGTAAGTACTAAGTTTTTATTGAAATTTTGGTGAATCCCACATATCCATAATTTCTATAAAACTTTGAGTTCTTATACAATCAAAAGTACGTATACAATTTTCTATACTTTAAATAACTACTGACGCCGTAATGAACGCCATCTGTTGAGTCTGACCCTAAACGCCGTCACGTTGTGCTACCCTATTTTATCTTTTTAATAATCTTTACAGAACAAATTATTTAAATTAAAATAGAAAAGCAATTAATTATTGTAGGCTGTGATGCATATTGCTATGTTGTCAGTTATGAATTTCTTTTCTTCAACTCTAACTTCATCTTTTAAATTAATTAGTCTTTTTGTTTAAATAAGTTAATAGTAGTAAAACCGTGAGAGTATTATTGAGATACCTAATATAGGTAACAAAGTATTATTAATCGTATTGCTACTAAAATCTAAATAAAAACTATGTGTTTGACAGTAGCCCAAAAAAGTAGTACAAACTGCGTTATTGTTATTTTGTTGTATAGTTCAATCAAAAAGTTTTTCTCTCAACTTTCTGAATCCAATAATTTGCTTATTACTAATTGATTCTGTTCGAATCGATGATTGTGATTAAAAATTACTGATTCGTGCCTGTAAAAGGAATTTACAGAGGGTGATAAATAAAATAAATGGGTGTATATCTCACATTAAATGATAACAAATCGATCGAAACAATGCTCTCTTTGATGTGTAATTGATAAATTAATTGAATGTAAGTAATGGGACGCCAACGTTTAAAAGTTGGCGTAGCCGTCGCTCCGTATCCTGGCTTTGTCCACATTTTATCAACTCCTTGGAGGAGAGTTTGAGTAAGAAAGTTCTTTAGCGGATCATTGTCGACACTTCCTAACGTATTTGTGTCCCGGTTTTTGTTATTAGTTAAGTCCTTACTTATCTTGATGTTTCTTTTATTGAACTCCTCAATTGACATCGATTCTGATTATTCCTTGAACCGTCAGTTCAAGCACCCAGCGTTCCTTCTTCTGATCTGTTCTTTGATGTCCCATTGCTCTGTTCTTTGATGTCCTATTGTTAATAATCATTTGATTATCAATTGCCCATCATCGAGGACATTAGTTTGATCGATTTGGTATCATAATGTGAAATATGATTAGAAATCAAGAGTTATTTGACTTTCAAATTGCCCATTTATTTCAATTTCTCTGTACATATGGTTGGTTTCCTTATGGTATTGGATTTTTAATAATAAATCAATGTTGAGCGTAATACTTTTGATCGAATATTAACCTTAGTTTAGCAACGTATGTGGTACGTTGTATTATTTTGCTTTTATTACATTTAGAACTAAATATATTATTTGATTAGCTGAGTTTTGTCTTGATTTTTCACCAATAACAATAGCATGCCCGTTCTTTTTTAGTTTGTTTAGCTCAATGTGTGTTGTTTTTTACACATGACACCAATTTTCGATTTTTTCTTTTTAAATTTATTAGGGGCCACAATTTCCAAGTAACGTTTGGCCTCCGTTATTACCCCTCAGCGAGAGCCCCATCTTAGAACTTACTGAGCAAACGGAAACCATGTGAAAGCAATCCTGTGAATAATCATCGTCGGCTTAGTTTAATGACTTTTGAAGTTGTTGCAATTCAATCCTCGTCGCAGAAAAAAAAATATGATAATATGCATAATTTAATATAATAATAACGCTACTACGGCTGTCAATTTCATTAAGTAACATCGACAATATCTATTTCATACAATAACAATTAAAAATCGTGTAAGTCCTGAGGGTATTTTTTTTATCATTATTTATAATCGCTCGCTAAAAATTAACTGTTTCAATTTGTGATGAAATCTGTCTTCATCCTATATTATCTATTTTTATACTTCAGTTTTCATACCTTCATTGTTATTACCCAACGAAAAACGAACTCTGATATTGTTTATGCTTTTAAATAAACAACAACAACGGTAGAATAGAATTGCATAAGTATTGCTTAGCTATTAGTCAGTTACTTGCAATTGATTTATTGATAAATTAATTGAACCCCAGATGCCTCACTAATATAAGAAGACACTCGATAATGTGAAACGAAAAAAGAAAAAGGTTGTTCATATTTATAACAGGGGACATTTGATGTCCATAAAAAAACCCATATATGAAGAATGCAGATAACAAAACCACTAAGAACGAATCATGCAGGTAAAAGTTAATACACGAATAATAATAAATAAATCTACAAAATATCCACTTTTAAAGCCAATAGGCATTCGTTTCTATAATTGCGCATAGGTCTAGCACAATTAATCTACTGTTCACATTATGCGAAGTTTCCATTATGTGCTGTTCGCACTGTTGAGTGTCTTCTGTATCGATTCAATGGGCAATTAATCGATTACATATTAAATATTAATATTGATGAATTACCAGATTTCATCACAGAAATATCTCTTATTTACTCACCAAGTTAACAACGTAGAAATATAGGATTTAAAAATAGATAACTGATGTAGGAAAATTTATTGATGTCTATATAGGTACATAAATCAAAAAGGAAAAGTAACTGTTGTTTTCTAAAAAGTTATTAAACTATACCTATATTGCAGAAGTAATTTATGTAATCGTGTTTCTGTGGTAATTAGATTACCTATCTTTTTTTTTAACTTGCACAGTCATAAATTTTTAAAATAATTTAAATTTGTATTTTATTATGGGCATTTTCTTTAAGAAAATACATGCAACAGATATGCTATGTAGTCGGATATCAAGGTGATTTAAGCAGCCATTAATTTTGTTAATTTTAGTAATTCTGTGGTTGTTATACATACCATATGCGAAAATGCGTATGCTCGCATTGAATTATAACATGCCGCTCTTTTCAATAGCTGTAAAGACTACGCGCGCACCTTGCATACTACCTGTTAGGAGTTGTGCGAAGCCACACTTACACATGCGAATACGTATATCCAAGAAGCGCTGTATAATTTAAAATTCCGTAGTCTATATTATAAAAAAGTGCACTCTTTTACAACCGGTATAACGGCACAAATATTTTTAACGTTTTGTTTTTGTGTTTCTCTGCAATTTAAGAGCATTACAATTTTTCTACAACATCGGTAGGTATGATATACTATAAGAACAAAAGTATCAAACTTCTTTGCACTTCCTGTTGTTGTTTACGATGAGCTCAAAACGTCTCAAATAAAGTAATAAAAGATGCAACATTAACCGGAAAAGTATAAACAGAAAAATGACATCTACTTTCTTATTTTTTAGAAATCCTTGAAAATCCTTTTGTATTTTTATTTTTGCTAAATATGGAGCTATTTTAACCGTTATTATTTTTCTTTTAATTTTAATTACCGTGCGAGTCTCTTAAGATATATGTATTTCAATTAGTAAGCAAGCAAAAATTAAAATTATTAACGAATCTAGAAATCTACTTTAAATCTATTTTAATATAAGGAATCCAAGTTTCAGTTTATTTCTTAAATTATACTTTTTACAGTAGATACATTTAAAGCAAAAGTTTTGACAATTTAAATATGGCAATAACTTTTTACAAAAATTGCTTTTTCCTGATGGAAACATAATTGACTCTTCATCCTTGAATAATTTTAACAAGTTTCGCCCTGGAGCCAATGAGATAAACAAGTGGTTGTAATTAGACAGAGTCGATTTACCGGAGATAATTAGATAGCTCAAGTTATTAACATCCACCCTTTACCGTTAACATAATTAATTTGATTATGCAATTTACTGTAGCAGCAACAGATGCTATCAACTCAGCAGAATTTACATTTCGGTGTTCAGTTTTCACTGTTTATGAAAAATGAACATATTTGAAATAAGATAATAAGAAGCATATAATATGCCGGTATGTTATGAAATAAATTTGCTTAGATTCGTTAGTTCTTATTTAGGAAAGTTCATAAAATACGTTCATAAATGAGGGGGTTGGGAGGGGTATTGCTTAGCGTTACGAGATACGGAAAGGGGGAAGGGGGGTCTAAAGAAATGTGACGTTCATAGTTCATCAATTTTATTTCAACTTCATCTTTTCTTAACTTGGCAGTTCTTAAAATTTTTCATGACTATAGAAAGTCATTCTCATTACTATTTTTAATCACAAAAAATCTTTTATAGGAGGGTGAGCTAGATTTTGTCACGTATATTAGGGGGGTTCAGTGAAAATGTGACTTGGTGTGATTAAGGAAGAGGAAGAGAAAAAGGTGAAATTTTGAGTGACGTATTTTATGGACAAAAATAATTTCAAATTTCATGATATATTTTCAAAAACATTTAATTTATTTTGAAGTTTTTCTAGGAATATTTTGTTTGTGAACAGAACCAAGAAAATAATTTTCAGTTCAAAAATTAAAATAAAATCTGCTTGCATGAAATGAAAAGTTTGAAGGCAGTTAGTATTATTATTGCTATTAAGTCTTATAAAAATGTTATCGAACTTAATTAAAAAGCAAATAAAGGTACATGTAGGTATAGTTTAATTTCTTGGAGAAACAACAGAAACAAATAGATATGATATTCTTAAAATCTGTATAAAACAATGATAGATAAATACATTTGTAGTTAAGAAAATTAAGAACTAGATATATTTTTTATCAATGTATTAATATAAAGATATTTTTCTGCTTTTTAAGACTGAGAGTTTATCACACAACTTTGAACGTCATTAAAAAAATTAAACATTAACCTTTTTGTTGCTGACGATTAATTTTAACCGAAATACTATGTTTTTCTTTAATAACGGATTATGATATGGTGATATTAAGAATTAGATTTACATGTTGTACGTATCACTGGAGTTACTTTTTAAGAAAAATTATTTATTTCATTGTAATTACATAGGAAATTTGCTTTAGTTTGTTCAAATTTTATTCACGAAATCAACGGAGAGGGCTTTATAAAAGGTACTTTTCGTCCGAATGGCAAGGAAGATATAACACTTGGTTGGATTAAAACAATTCATAACTGATTGTGTTTTGGAACATTTGACATGTTTTCCTTGCTTAAAAATATTTTCTTCGTGTTTTTAAAAGAAAAAAAGACCAATAAAAAAAAAATCGAAATTTCAGAAACAAAAGAACAAACCTAAAGTTAGTGTAATTATGTAGTTAACAAAGTTACAAAGAAAACGAAGTGTTCAATGTTTCAAAATACAACTAAAAATTTTTGCCATAGCTTTTTGTCACTGTTTCAGAAAAATCTATAATATCATCTTTTTTATCTACCGTTTGTCACCGGCTCATAATTTTCTTTATGAATTTATTTAAACTTAATAGCTTTACCCAAAAGCAACCCCTAAAAGTTTTATTTTTGATTCAATTACTGTTAACTCGTTTATTAAAAACAGAAGGTGTTTCTGATGTGTGTAATCATATGAAAGTATTTAAGCAGAGATAATTAATAAGTTGAAAATAATCATGAAACTTTTCAATTATCATTTCCATATTCTAATAATTAAGTCGTATTTAATAGGTTTGTTAGTTTATTACATTGTATTATTTTGTATATGTATTTAATAATGTTATTTTGCAAATAGTTCAATAATGTAAAAAAAGCAAAAAGAGGAGAGGGTTAAATTAGAAAACACGTTTTCTTTTTCGAAACAAAATAGAAGAACTCTTGTACGTGACTCAATAAAAAGGTAAACTTAACTGTTAAGCTTCAATATTTGTATATATACGTATCTATTATTGTGCGTTTAGCAGGTTTTTTTTAACATTGTTATTAAACACCATGGTTATATAAAATGCAGCGATGTTGTTGATATTGTTAACGTTAATATTGCAAAACATGAAAACGACATTCCATATATAGCGTTTTTTTCCGAATTTTTGAATGTCATGTTTGTTCGCATAACATTCTAAAAAGCGCTGTAAATAATAAATATACTTATACATATACCTATACACATAAATAAAATACGTATAATTTTAGAGGCGCCATTGCAGCCATAAATGATTATAATCTTCAGGTAAATAAAATGGAACAGCATAGAAATGTATTCAATTCCAATGATTTTGAATTGCACAAATAAGAAAAATAGTTTGCTGCCTGTTAAAAGTATTTTAGATAGTTTTGTTAATATTTGGGACATTTATATACAATTAGTTAACATTTAAGGGTAGGATAACTACACTTTCTTCTACAAAAAAAAAATACAACGTGTAATTATACAACACGTTACTGAAGTGAAACTTCTTCAAACATACAAACATACCGGTATAGGGGTTAAGGAATTGGTTTAATGGTATTATTTGTACACTTAAATTTTACACTATACATGTCGGAGTTGCCTATAACTAACGTTGCATTGAAGCACGTTCACGGCACAAGCAATCCCCACTACGAACTCGACTACGTGGCCGAGTAGAGGGGGGACATCCGTTGCATAATTTCGTTACATGGCAACTCGCATGAAGCGAACCTACTCTACCGTGCGTAAAGAAGTTTTACTTCAAAAACGTATCAGAATCCTAGAAAAGTCGTAAAGACAGATCTCATATAGGAATTGCTAGTAGTTTTTAGTAAAGCTAGAGAAGAAATTCACCTCTATTTACTACTATCGGTCACATGTTTCTGCTACTTATTACAGCATTATGAACGGGAGAATGCGTGTGAGTGAAGCACGTGCTTGTAAATTGTACTTAGCGATAAATAGAGTTGAGTTTCTTGTTTAGTTATTTCCTTTATATAGTCTCCAATTTTTAACCAATACTCCATTATATAATTGAAAATTACAGAAAAAAGTATCCTAACCTCCAATTTCTGCCTTTTAACATCCACAAACTACTTAAATAAAATAATGACTAAAACTGTTTATAATATTTATAGTTATTGAGATTATTTAGAAAATGTGGATATAACTGCTATATTTATCCATTTTCTTTTCACTTTTTTAAAGTTTTTTTTTGGCACATAAAATAGTTTTTCAAACGAATCAACTTCGTACTGTAAAGTCCAGCTATCGAGATCTATTCATTATAGGAATTGCAATTTTATATTTAGGTGGAGGCATGTGTCGAAGAAAATTTTATATGAACATATATGAAGGTAATATAATGTCCAATAAACAAGGAAAATGTTGTTGGCAATCCCAAAAGAAAATAAATAATAAATTACTAAGTAACCCTTCATTACTCGCTCTTAAAATCACCCTTAAAATCCAGGGACCAGTCACGGAAAAAATAATAAAGCTGTGACAAAATTTGTTATAATCTATATATGCTTTGGATTTTTTAATATGAAGTCNAAAGACATCTTTTTATTCTTCCAATTGTCGAATTTAGAAAATTATTCGTATGTGAATTAGGATTTTCAGGGTTCAAATTGAATAATTTACTCCTTTGGGACATTTATATACAATTAGTTAACATTTAAGGGTAGGATAACTACACTTTCTTCTACAAAAAAAAAAATACAACGTGTAATTATACAACACGTTACTGAAGTGAAACTTCTTCAAACATACAAACATACCGGTATAGGGGTTAAGGAATTGGTTTAATGGTATTATTTGTACACTTAAATTTTACACTATACATGTCGGAGTTGCCTATAACTAACGTTGCATTGAAGCACGTTCACGGCACAAGCAATCCCCACTACGAACTCGACTACGTGGCCGAGTAGAGGGGGGACATCCGTTGCATAATTTCGTTACATGGCAACTCGCATGAAGCGAACCTACTCTACCGTGCGTAAAGAAGTTTTACTTCAAAAACGTATCAGAATCCTAGAAAAGTCGTAAAGACAGATCTCATATAGGAATTGCTAGTAGTTTTTAGTAAAGCTAGAGAAGAAATTCACCTCTATTTACTACTATCGGTCACATGTTTCTGCTACTTATTACAGCATTATGAACGGGAGAATGCGTGTGAGTGAAGCACGTGCTTGTAAATTGTACTTAGCGATAAATAGAGTTGAGTTTCTTGTTTAGTTATTTCCTTTATATAGTCTCCAATTTTTAACCAATACTCCATTATATAATTGAAAATTACAGAAAAAAGTATCCTAACCTCCAATTTCTGCCTTTTAACATCCACAAACTACTTAAATAAAATAATGACTAAAACTGTTTATAATATTTATAGTTATTGAGATTATTTAGAAAATGTGGATATAACTGCTATATTTATCCATTTTCTTTTCACTTTTTTAAAGTTTTTTTTTGGCACATAAAATAGTTTTTCAAACGAATCAACTTCGTACTGTAAAGTCCAGCTATCGAGATCTATTCATTATAGGAATTGCAATTTTATATTTAGGTGGAGGCATGTGTCGAAGAAAATTTTATATGAACATATATGAAGGTAATATAATGTCCAATAAACAAGGAAAATGTTGTTGGCAATCCCAAAAGAAAATAAATAATAAATTACTAAGTAACCCTTCATTACTCGCTCTTAAAATCACCCTTAAAATCCAGGGACCAGTCACGGAAAAAATAATAAAGCTGTGACAAAATTTGTTATAATCTATATATGCTTTGGATTTTTTAATATGAAGTCTAACGTTTATATCTGATCCAGAAAAACGCTACAACACGTGACTTCATTCTTACCCAATATTAAAACACTTGGAATATGCATTGAAATTGATTTATTTTGTTCAATATCATAATATAATTGTAAAATCAATAGCAAAATTGCATTTAGATAGGGGAGAATGTAGCCGTCTTCTGATATTTGCAGTTAACTGATGTTTTTCGAATCCTAGAGAAGGGCCTCAGTAAGATCTACATGTCCAACTAAATTGACTTTGTACATGTTGTATACGTGAAAAGCAAGTAAACCAAATTATTTAATAAAAACTTAATCCCTTCTTACAACAACTGCAGACTAAANATGAAAATTTAATAGGATATTTTTGTTTTTTCTGTTAATTTCTATAACCCAAGACTATTAATACTTTTTGCTCAGTTTCAATTTTTCCTTAAAAATATGGAGGTATATACTACATATACCTACACATTCTTTCATCCAAATTTTACACACATTCGCTATTAAAAAGAACATTGAGATCTAGGTAGATAAACTAAATAGCAGTAGATGGTAATTAGAGATGTACAAAAATTTTTAAAAGTAGTTAAATACAAAATGCAAATACCTTTTTGATTTGTTATTTCAAATGTAAAATGTAAAATACAAAATGTAGTTCCCTTTTGTATTTTAAATGCTAAATGCAAAATACATATTTTCAAGATACTTTTTTAATTGGAAAAAAGACGCTAATGCCAAAATAGTTTGATTAGCGTGAAAGATCAGAGCCAAAATAGGGTTGCGAATAATTTTATTGATGTAAAATCAACATTCATTATTTTATATCAAAATATTTACAACCCCATTTTGTATCCGATCTTTTACACTTTGTAATAAGAGAAAGAAATGGAGTCCATAGTTTCTTTAGCTTTGGGTTCATTTAATAAGTGAAATCTTTCGAANTTAAATTTTACACTATACATGTCGGAGTTGCCTATAACTAACGTTGCATTGAAGCACGTTCACGGCACAAGCAATCCCCACTACGAACTCGACTACGTGGCCGAGTAGAGGGGGGACATCCGTTGCATAATTTCGTTACATGGCAACTCGCATGAAGCGAACCTACTCTACCGTGCGTAAAGAAGTTTTACTTCAAAAACGTATCAGAATCCTAGAAAAGTCGTAAAGACAGATCTCATATAGGAATTGCTAGTAGTTTTTAGTAAAGCTAGAGAAGAAATTCACCTCTATTTACTACTATCGGTCACATGTTTCTGCTACTTATTACAGCATTATGAACGGGAGAATGCGTGTGAGTGAAGCACGTGCTTGTAAATTGTACTTAGCGATAAATAGAGTTGAGTTTCTTGTTTAGTTATTTCCTTTATATAGTCTCCAATTTTTAACCAATACTCCATTATATAATTGAAAATTACAGAAAAAAGTATCCTAACCTCCAATTTCTGCCTTTTAACATCCACAAACTACTTAAATAAAATAATGACTAAAACTGTTTATAATATTTATAGTTATTGAGATTATTTAGAAAATGTGGATATAACTGCTATATTTATCCATTTTCTTTTCACTTTTTTAAAGTTTTTTTTTGGCACATAAAATAGTTTTTCAAACGAATCAACTTCGTACTGTAAAGTCCAGCTATCGAGATCTATTCATTATAGGAATTGCAATTTTATATTTAGGTGGAGGCATGTGTCGAAGAAAATTTTATATGAACATATATGAAGGTAATATAATGTCCAATAAACAAGGAAAATGTTGTTGGCAATCCCAAAAGAAAATAAATAATAAATTACTAAGTAACCCTTCATTACTCGCTCTTAAAATCACCCTTAAAATCCAGGGACCAGTCACGGAAAAAATAATAAAGCTGTGACAAAATTTGTTATAATCTATATATGCTTTGGATTTTTTAATATGAAGTCTAACGTTTATATCTGATCCAGAAAAACGCTACAACACGTGACTTCATTCTTACCCAATATTAAAACACTTGGAATATGCATTGAAATTGATTTATTTTGTTCAATATCATAATATAATTGTAAAATCAATAGCAAAATTGCATTTAGATAGGGGAGAATGTAGCCGTCTTCTGATATTTGCAGTTAACTGATGTTTTTCGAATCCTAGAGAAGGGCCTCAGTAAGA